AAAAAAAAAAAAAAGGTGGGTAGTAACAGCCTGATTTACACAGCGAGTGAGGACGGGCCTGGAACTGGGCTCAGCCTGACCCGTAGCTGGGCTCTGGACGTCTAACTGGTGAACGTCTATTCAGTGTAAATCACTTACGATTCTGTTTGTTCTTAAGGAACAGACTTTTTAAAGCATAAAAATAATAGAAGTTCAGTAGCTTTAGGAATGCAAAACATCATATATATTGTTTGATGAAAATAGCCAAAACGTTACTGTTACTTTATGTTTTTACATAATGTTTTTTTTGGCTGTGTGTCTTTTTATTTTTCCCTCAGTTTTATTGAGATATGATTGACACGAAGGGCTGTATAAGTGTCAGGTGTACAGCATAATGACTTGACTTACGTCTGTCGTGCAATGATCACCACACTACGTTTAGTTAACATCCATCATCTCATATAGATACAAAAAAAAGAAAAAGAAAAAATTGGGTTTTTTTCTTGTGATGAGAACTCTTAGGATCTACTCTCTTATATCATGTTTATAAATAGAAGAAAAATGCTTGGAAAATCTCAGAATATTATAATCAAATGTGTCACTGTAACTGTAGTCATACATGCTAATTGTTGTAAGATGTAGTGATGTTTCATTTGTCAGATTCACTGGACAAAAAGATGTTTGTCAGAGTATAGCATTGTTATTATCTTTTCTAATCTGCTCTTCCTCTCGTGTCTTCATCTCGTTTCAGACCCTCCGCCGGTGCTGCGGGTGGACGACCGGCAGCGGCTGGCCCGGGAGCGGCGTGAGGAGCGCGAGAAGCAGCTCGGTACCTGCCTCGTGTGGTTCCAGGGACGCTGGGGTGGCATGTCCTTCTCCCTCTGGGATGTGGACACTTAACACTGAGCAGATGGGCGTCACTGAAATAGCCATGCTCTGGAGCGCGCCTGTCTCAGTTTTGCAGATCCATTGTGAAACAGAACTTAGTGTGAGATAGAAACGTGGGACTAAACAACGATAAAGCCCGCCCAGGGTTAGGGTCATTTTCCCTTCCTCTTATATAGTAGTCACAGTTTAATGTGGCCCTGGAGGGAGCATGTCTCTGGAGGCGTGATGGCTCAGCTTACATTTTACAACTTAAAAACTACAAGGGCAGCGAGCATCTGGTTCTTCTTTTTGTGTGAATAGTTAGGAGACTGGGCACTGCTGGGCGCTGCCCGCTCTCCCTGTTAAAATAATGGGGCTGTTGAACAGGTGGACAGATGGGCCAGCATGTTGCCAGGAAACGCAGGAGACCTAGCGCTGTGTCTGAGCTTCCTTTGCTACCTAAGGCCCTCGCAGAAGGGGAGCAGTGCAGTATTGGCCGCATAACCCGCTGGAGAGCGAGGTCGCAGGAATAGCCCCCAGGAAGCGGAGATCAGAGCACTTAGCAGGCATTGTCTTCTAGAGCACAGTGAGGTTGCTGGTACCCGCTCCTCCTGTACTTGGGTGTCTGTTTATGCAGAGTTGCTAAAACACGATGCTCTCTTTCTGTATCTTGGGAAGATGAAATGTCTGCTCAGCGTGTCTCAGTGTTTCCAGGGTATCTAGGTGTTTTAAAACTAGGACCCATTTAGGTTGCCACAATCTTTGAGTGGATGACCCATAACTTTTCTAAAGTTCTACTGCATTTTGTGAGAGTTAGTGTTTCCATGGGGGAGCCCAGCCCCTATATCCTATCTCTTTTATTATTCTTATTTAAGACCCCAAATTTGTGAAATTCACTGGAAGCTGGTTTTCAGAAGTCTGTTGACATTATTTACATTCTTTCAACATAGGCCTCTTTCTGTCCCTTGCCATAAGGATCAGATGAGGTCGTTTCTTTTGCTGCCAAGGTTTTTTCAACACAGATTTCAGTGACTTGCAGGAAGTGAACAGGCTCTGCTGTTTCTCTGTGCATAGAGTTTGCACCCAAGCTTGAAGTTCCCTGTTCCTGACAAGTGTCCAGTGGGCTGGTAGGTTCCTGAGGAGCAGGGCTGTCTGTGGCCCTGAGGGCTCCCTCTTTCCTTGGAATACTCTGCAGTCTGGAGATCTTCCCTCTCTGAACTATGCCCACCGCTCCCTAGTCAAGGTTGGTTTGACAAGTGGATCAGAACTGAGAGAGAAAAGGAAGAGATTCCTGGAGAGCAAAAAGAAGAAACTGACTACTGTTCTGGTGTGGCTGGTATTTGCACTGTGTTTGGATCCATCTAATAATTAGCCTCTGGTCCTCCCTGCCCCCTCTCCTCCCCATCCCAGGCCGGTCAGTCTTACACTCTTAAATGTCTCCTTAGAGGTGGACTGTGGATTCATACCTGCTTGGGTAAAAGTAGCTCCATGGAGTCGGGAGACTACTCATTTATGATTTAAATCCCATTGTGAATTAGCCTTTACACATTAACTCATACTTTTCCATTTGGGTTTCTGTGTCTCTCAAAGCCAAGCATTATTAGTTTTTTTGTGGAAAGTATGAATATGTTGGTCAAACAAAACTGATTTCACTTCTTATGTTATAAGGTTGTAAGACTTAGGGCTTTGAGCCTGCAGATTCTCCCTGCAGATCGCCTGGCTTTGTATGTCAAGTGGCTAGATTTTTTTCTTAAGATGTAGCCCCGTATTTCAATTCATATCGTTGGTGCAGAACATGGCTCATTAATTTATATATTCAAAAATTTTATTTGCCAGGTATTGTGTTAAAAAGATGAATAAAGGTTGAGACCCAGCACTCAGCAGCTAGCTGCACTCTGGAAGGGAGGCAGACGAGCACACAGCAACTGTAATGCAGGGTGGTATTGAAGGAGTGGGCACGAGGGGTGCTGAGGACCGTGGAAGCACTGAGCCCAGCCTGGGGATGTCAGGTGCCGCCTGAGCTTCCAGCGCGAGGATGAGGAGGAGTCATCGGGGGGTAGAAGAGGCAGGGCCTGTAGAGCAGTGATGCGGAGAGGGGTGGAGAAAGGCATGTGGCACCAGACCCAGCGTGCTCCTCAGACGATTACATGGGTCAAAGTGATCTTCAGATTATGGTATTCTCCTGTTATCACAACTGTACTTTTTTGGTGAGCCAGCATATAATATATGTAGTTTTTCTCTTTCTTCTTACCCCTGCCGTGGTAAATAGCATAGTTTTTCTTAATTCTGATCTCATTTCTTTTTCTGTTGTTGAAAATCATAATTTTAATGAAATACATCAATTCTAATTTTTATTTTTTCTTTGTATTAATTGCATTTGCTTTTTAAATTTTAAAACAGCATCTTTTTGCCTATTCTTTTCCACTTAAGCTGTCAGAGGAGACACTAAGTCTCGAGAGGCTTCCATCTTCCTAAATACACAAACATACATGCAAATGCACATACATACATTTGTAAAAGAGTCATTTAAAAGCTAGCATCTAATTTAAGCTGTGCCTAAGAATACATAAGGGTGGTTTCTAAAAAATCTTTAGTCCTAAAAGAAAATCCAAGGGCCTACCTAACAAGTGACCCATAAACTGTGCTCTGCAGAAGCTGCGATGGCAGTGGGGGAGTAATAAAAGGGAGTACTGTCACTTAGTAGCAGATCTTTGGACCATGCTCTTAGGAAAACAAAAAATAATTGGTAATACCAACTCTTACCAAGCTTTCAAACTTTAAAATTTTCCAAGTTAAAAAAAAAGTGAGAATACATTCCAGAAATTCCAACAAAGCAAAGTTTAAAGTGGTTGGCCAGGGAAATTGATGGTTCATTGTTGGATGTAGGTTGAAATTAACATTGAAATCATTAAAGATTTTTGTAATCCACATTTTTTATAAAGCAAGGTAGAGAGGGAGAATAAAGCAATTATAATACAGGGTGGTATTGAAGGAACGTGCTTTTTGTTTTGCTTTTGGTGGCCTGTCATGTTTGTACTGTTTTGCACCTAGGTCAGCCCAGTCCCCTACCTGGGGCTTCCACTGTCTCGAGCCCAGTGTGCGCGTGGAAGCTGCCACCCTCTGTCCCTAAATCCCTTCAGTCACAAGACTAGCTCCCCTCCGTCTTCAGCATAAATCTCAGATCCATGCCTTTCAATCTGCTGCCTCCACTGTCATCCTAGACCAGGCCTTAATAAATTTATATCTTCATCCCAAAATGATCTCACGGATGCCCTTCGTCCCTCCAGTTCCGTCCCAGCTAGTGCCTTCTGCTCCTTCTCTTTGAGGCTTCTCGTCTTTGTGATCTTGTCCCTCTGGGGAATTCTGTCCTTTTCTCACTGTGTATTAGATCTTGTGTAACTGTCATATCTTAGCTCACATTCTAGTGCTGTTTTATACTCGACTGAACTTTCTCTAGTTGGATTTTATATAACTCCCTGGTTGTAAGTATTTTAAGCTTTTAAAGGGTATGACCATGGTTTTCTAATTCTTTGTATCCCAGTACATGGCACAGCGCTAAGTATAAAACAGACGTGTAATAAATATTTGCTTTCCTGATTTTATTGTAGTCTTTAAATGTTAATAATATTGTTTAAATATTACTAATGAATACTAATAATAACGTCTGATGAGCACTGACTGTGGGCCAAGCTATGTTCTAAACACTTCACTGTGTATTATCACATTTAGTAGCAAATTAACACAGTGGTTATACTTTTTATTGTGTGGACCTGCCATAGTTGTTAATGTAAGTTATTTTATAGAATGTCCATTGTTTTATTTTTGAAATATATTATGGTAATTTAGCTTAAGGAGGGAACTGAGAGCATCTAGAAAAATGGAGTAGTTAATAGACCCTTTTTTCTTCCTGCCATATCAGCTATGTAAGCGTGTTTTTAGTATGTACAGGATCACAAGACCCAGTTAAAATTCCCCCACCAGTGGTGACGCGGCGAAGGGGGGAGCGACCCCTGTGCTGTAGGTGCGGGTGGCACATTTTCTGCCGTTTCAGAGCTGGGCATGTGTCTGACTCGTGTGGAGGAAGGGCTGCTCTCCTGCCTCACAGCTTAGGTGCTGTGTCCACTGTGTGTTAGATACAGAGCGAGAGGGGAAAGGGGAGGTGCTGGAGCGGACGCTGACGGCGTTTTGAGAAAACGTGGCAGTGATCATTTGTTAGCCTCGGAGTCCTGGGATTGACACTGCGCTCCACCTGGGATGTTTCTCCTGAGGCATCCACGTGGCTCGTTCCCGCTCCTCCGTCAGTGCTGTTTAAATGCCGTCTCGCAGGGAGCCCTTCCTGACCACCTTACTCGCCTTTGCACTGCCCCCAAACCAGCACTCTGTTTTCCTCCATGTCACGGTCGACATCCAAGCATGTGTGTGTTTTGCTTGTTTACTGTCTGTCTGCCCCCACTGGAGTACGGCTCCATAAGAGAGAGGGCTCCTGTCATTTTTTTCATTTCTATAGAACAGAGCCTGGCACATAGTCGATGTCTAACAATTGTTTGTTGAATGTTACATGAATAGTAAGTCTCTGCATTTTAATATAAGCAGAGGGGCCGGCCCCGTGGCTTAGCGGTTAAGTGCGCGGGCTCCGCTGCTGGCGGCTCAGGTTCGGATCCCGGGCGCGCACCGACGTGCCGCTTCTGTGGCCATGCTGAGGCCGCGTCCCATGTACAGCGACTGGAAGGATGTGCAGCTATGGCATACAACTATCTACTGGGGCTTTGGGGGAAAAAATAAATAAATAAATAAAATTATTAATATAAGCAGAGATGAATGCAGCAGGAATACTGCAAATTAGTTAAGATGTGACCAAAGTATCAGGTAATACCTGCCCTTGTAATAGTTCAAACAAGTCTTAAATTCTTAAGCATTTTCTCTGTTAGATGAACAAGGATATAAAGGTAATCTGTAGAATAG